TTGTTTAAACTATAAACATTTTCAATAAAATCATGTGCATAATTTAATCATTTTTTTCATGTCTATATTGTATTTTTTTGAACTTAGACTTTATCTTAGTATTAAGTATAAATTATAATTTATAAGTATTAATTAAGTTTATACAAGACATCAGTTGTATCGTATATTTAGTATTGTTACATACTATGTTAGAATAAGCTATTTTATTGATAATGCCAGCCATTCCGTTCAATCATATTTTTTTCAATTTAACATCTACTTAATTTCGTTTAATGTTTATTAATAAAAAAATACAATGAAAAGTATTTTGCAGGCCGAGAAAAGATTGCTTTCCTATCCTTCTATTCAGAAGGCACTCTGATGAGTCAAAGTCCAACTCATCAAACAAATTCATCTAATTATTTATCTAGCGATGTTCATTGGATAAATAAATGTATTTTAAACTATAACTTTATTACAATATAGTTTACCATGCCAGGCACATAGTTGATATCCTCCTGATTAATATTCGTCGCATAATTTACATAAAATATCTGTTTGGTAACATATGCTACAAATAAAACTTTTTGACCAAATATTTTAGTATTGAAAAATATGTTTACTGGTGTTCTAAAAACAGAACATTGGAAAACCAATATGTACCAATATATTTTCGTTACTCTGTTTAAAATTTCAAAACAATATATAGGTACATATACATGCAAGCATAACGTTTATATTTATTTACTCAGTATTTACATTTTTGTTGCAAACATTTGCAATTCTTATTTTGCATTAACTTATTAGAGTATGATTACATTTATGATTGAAATTATGTAATTGATTTTATGATGCACAACAATTTGTGAATAATATAATTGAATTAATTATATACAATTACTTACACCTATAAGGGAACATCTAAATTTTGTATTCTTACCTATTTAAAAGAAAAATATGTTATTTCACTTTATTAATGTCTATAATGATTTAATAATTTAATAGATTAATTTTTAACTTAATATTGTAGTAAAACCAATATCTGCAGGCAGAGTATTATTTTATAAAAACAAAAAGTAAACACTGTTCAAGCAAAAGAAAGATTATATAAGTTTGGGCTTATTGTGTTCATGTGCGTGGATAAAGAAAATATTTAAGTCTCAACTTCAATTTTTTTTTTCTATGGTCTTAATTTTATTTTTATTTTATGAACCATTTTAGGTTTTGAGCAGAGTGATAGGAATGTATTGGTTTTACATTATTGCGTTTTTTACGCGTTTTATTCAGAAAACTACTTTTGTGGCTATTAAAGTGGTCCAAAAGTTTCTTGTAGCCCGTAATCTAAACTGCTCTTAGTTTAAAAACCAAACACAGATGGTACTTTAAAGAAGGAACCAAAAACATCAAGAGAGAACAGTTATTTATGCCGTACACCAGTGTCTATATGAATATAACAAAACTATATTAATATTATTATAAATTAGCAAATAATAATTCATATTCACACCTATCATTTATTTATTATAAAAATTGTAAAATGTTCTTTCTCATTCTACATTTATTTTTTATTATTTTTTATCACTGTTGTGCAGTTATAATTTATCGATTCTTCATCTCAAAAGTAACACAATATAGAATAGTGTTGCTGTTGCACTAATAGTAACAACTTATATATAATTTTAAATAATGTGAAATCATTTACAGCTTATAATTAAATAAACCTAAATGCTTGTATGACATCAACAAAAATTTAATCAAATGGTACTCTATAAAATATTTTTTTAAATATTTTTTCAAACATTTGTTACTATTCCAGTTATTCGTTGAAAATTTTCAAAATTGAGTTTAATCAAAACAAAGTTACTTAGCACAATAAAATAAGTACAAGATAGACTACATGGACCACTAACAATGTTCATTGAAAAAAAATTATATTATAATTTATAATATAAATATTGATGATATTATAATAATTAACAAATATATAAAAATAAATATAAAAATATTTAGTCCCTAAGAGGGAAAATGGTTCTTACTCTATAATCTAGATAGTAATATAACGTACCTACGACCTACCTATTCAATTCGCTATAATACAAATAAATACCACAATCCTCTTCTCCTAAAAAAATATTTTAACAGGCATCGATGATGTTGACAAAACAAATTTTTTGCCTCCTCCTGGTATTTAGGTATGCCGTATGGGCATACCTATGGATGTTTTAATAAACAATTGATTACTTTGCATTGGTTTGAGTACTTTTTCAATTAAAAAAATCTTGACAGGAATAAGCTGTTAAAAATATTGATTTATGCTCCGACCGATGCAGAGTCAACTTCTTTATCAAATCAAAAATCTTTACATTTAAATCGAACCACTAGGAGCACTTTTTTGTCAGTCACTAATATAAGGTGTTTTGATGAAACATTGATAGAGATTTTATGGGATTTGATAAGTTAATCTAATAAAGGTGTATGAATGGATGAGGGTGTGGGTGGTCAAAGCTCCCACGGATCACTTTAGTCGACATAAATCTAGCACCTCCATAAATTTAACCCGAATTTCATCTATGAATCGTCTGTAAAATGTTTTATTTACACCATGGAAAAGAGCTGTGATGGCTAGATCATTATGTAAGAGCTGATTTGAAAAGTAAAAGGGTGATTTGGTTATAGCTTAATACAGTTGGTGTTGGAGATTTTTACAGAGCTTCATAATTGGATTCCGTGCTGCTATACGGGTTTAAGAATGAGTTTATAGTATGAGTTGGAGCTTAAGAGAAATTGAGGAGGATCTATAATTTAAGGATAAAAGTTTGTTGCGTAAATCGTAGATGTGTTGACCACAAGTAAGACGTTGACCAATGGTGATGCCTAGATAGAGAATGCATTTTGTTTGCAAAGTTTGTTCATTGAGGGTAATAGGTGAACATTTTACCTTTCTAAAAGGAATATAACTATTTTTAACTAATTTTTACTAGCCTATTTTTACTCCTCATTCCTTGTACCATGTTTTGAGGAGAAGATATTTTCTTGAATGCTCGACAAATAGTTGGGTCATGACTATTGACTATAAGAGCTTTGTCGTTCGCAAAGTCACATTTTATTAAATTAATTTATATACATTGTTAAATTCTTTAAAGTGGAACGGTCTTGAATAATATTAGCAAACTAATTTTGTATGCATTTTAAAGGCGTTCAAGCACTATATATTATAATTTTTTATACGTTTTCAAGAGTTGGTCCATCCATGCAAAGCAACTCAGGAAACGTGGGACGATAAAATTATAATTACTATTGATTTTTCTTTGTAAATGTAATTGTGTTTTACTCTCTTTTTATAAATTTGATAGTACTACCATAATATTAAAAATGAGATTTTATTTCATTTTTTCATTGGGTTTTCATAGTTTATATTATATTTGAAATGGAAATTATGTCAATAACTCGATAAATTATTTAAAATACAACATTTGTACAATACAGGATGATAGTCGATCCTTTGCATACCTACTTAAAGCCGTAAAGAATAATTAAAATGCATTTTGAGAGTACATATCCTCCCTCATTATGATGTAGCCAATGTAAATTAGATAATATTTTCGATAAAATATTTAATACATACCTAAATAATTAAACATATTTAGAACTTATAAATAATCCATCATTAAACAAATCGAATATGTTCCTATATCTGATGAAATGTAAAGTACCTACCAAATTTATTTAAAATATTGACCATTATTGTTTGGAAACAATTAATGCATGTATTATACTTTTAAAAAATATCGATCTTATTATAATTTAATTTTATCGTTTGCAATTTGAAATCAGTTTAATATTAAGATTCTTTTGTTTCTACTGAAACGTTCGTTATTTTTGAAATAAATTCATGCAACAAAATATAGAGTGTTTCATTATTATCAGTGATCTATAAGTGTAATACTTTGTAAGAGTTTTTTTTACTTGTGCAATGATTATAAATAATCTCAGTAATATGTTAGCCTTAGTTTGACGGTTGTGATCGTTACTGGGGTTTGATTACATTTTTCAGCACATTCTTAGAGCCACTTTGTGTGATAATGGCATTTTCAGTTTAATAGTAGGCACTTGCTTATTCATCAGTAGAAATAAAATGAATGTTTCGTCTGAATCGACATTAAGTCTCGACATTTTAGGATAATTTGTTATTATTATTATAATATGTAAATGAGCGTATTGTTTGTTTTTCCAACAGATAGCTGTAGATAATATGCAACACGACCATTAAAAAATATTGGTACCTAACAATAATTTAACTAAAATTAGCTAGCAGGACCAAATAAATGGTTGCGATTACTCTCATTGAAACCAAGTCTATACTAATTCGTATCCTGTTTGCCTTCTGTTTACCGTATATGTTACAGTAAATACCCGTGATCTGTTAAAACCTAAATAATTAAACCTAATAGGATGTTCTCTAGAACCGGATGTTACTAGGTACCTACCTAGGTTTTTATTTATGAATTATGGGTACAGTAAAAAGGGCAATAAATTTATTTATAAATATAATATAAATAATATTTTTTACTACATTTTCAGTAAATTCTGATTTTATATTTATTTTTGGATAGAGAACAATAGCAAATGCTGTTGATAGGCACAAATCATTGACATTTTTATAAAATAATATATATGGTATATAGGTATCGCAGACTAAGTTAGCTAGGTAATTATTTTTAGTGGTGTTTTGTTTTAATTTATTTGGTGTTCTAGAAATACTAAATTTGTAATTATTGATGTAATTGTATTAAAATCGTATCATTATTATGAAGCCGTTTGAAAACAAGTCGCTTTTCGCGGAGGCCGAAGAAATGATGAGAGTTTTTGCGGAACTGAGAGCTGCACAGTTACATTTTCCGCGAGGATAGTACGTGGACCGGAACGTAACCGGTACAGAGCAGCCCAGCCGTAGACATGATCCCGCGCCGGCACAGCCACGTCGGACTAATGCCCAAGACGCAGGAGACATCGCGGTTGGGATGGATCGGCCGACACACCGGCTCTACAGGTCGGACGCCGAGATAATGCGACTGGAACTGTTAGGCGAGACGGCTGCACCGGTTTACCGGCAGATCTGGCTGCCAAATTATGCGGACCATGCCTTCCGGTCTGCCATGGCGATCGTGGACGCGGCTCCGGTTCAACCGGCCACTGGTACTGTCAGCGGACAACGTCATCGTCGATCCGTCTGTGGTCCTAACGCCATCGTCAACACCGGAATTCCTGCGGAAACTAGAGGACTGCTAAGTCCTGGCTGGACTCGAGGAGGCGGTGGTTTTTCACCAGGAACGTTGAGTTGCCGTCGGAACTGGAACCGGGAACAGCTGGCGGCGTCTGCAGCCCCGACGGAACGCGGCGGCGAACCTCGCGCCGGAAGCCAAGGGTCGTCGTCGCACGTTCTAGCTGGACAAAGCAATTTGTCCACCGCATGTTTTGTTTCTAGTCGGTCATGGCTAGCTTATGTAGGTAGGTACATAGATCAGTTTAAGATAATGTAGTAAATTCATTTTAAATTCTGAGCGGAGAAAGGAAGCTAGTGGTTTTACAATGGTGTTTATTTATTTATTTTTTTTATTTTTCCTTTTTTTTTATTTTTATATCCTGTATACAAAATTTCTCTCAGAAAGAGTTCTTCGATTTCAACATATTATAGTACCTTATCTTTTAGCAAATTGGATCAAGATGGTATTTTAGAGAGGTTATTTTTCAATTTTATTAATATTTATTGAAACTATAAAACCACTAAAAATTGGATTTTAATTTCTAACGCTTTGTTTATTACCATAGAAACGAATAAAAATAATAATATTATAATATTAATTCAACTTACATGATATAATAATAACTAATAACAATATAAAATATCCAGATTGACAAACCGTCTCCGCTCATAATCGTTTTTCTTATACAATGATATTATATCAATGAATTCAAGTTTAATACAATCCTTTATACATTAACCCACTTGTAACCTACTGTACCTACAGCAGAGCTACATCCACTTACCCTTTTTTTTTAAACTTTTATTAAAATACTATTTAAAGTAAAAGTCATACATGTTATGTAAAATACTGAAAATATACAGACAGCTTAAATTAAGTACCTACTACCTATTACCATTGGTTATGAATTATTTAACATACTTACAGTCAAACATACATTTTGTTGATTGTCTTGCATTACCGATAAATAGCATAGACCGTGTTATAGTAATGTAATTTTCCCCTTAAACTTTTAAAATATTAACATTAAACAATTTTAGCAAAGATATGTTTCTGGGCAAAATAGGAACAAATTATTTTTCCAACCTATTTTGCATAACACTTCGTTTATTGTCATAGAAATGCAAATCTATAACTCTTAATTCATTAAATTCCAAGCAAAATGTAACATATTATTATTACATATTTTTCCACTGTATTACAATACCCCAAAACATATTTCATAAATTTTCCTTGCATAGGAAAGATATCTAGTATTTTCAATGCACAGTACTTATATTTAATTTTGATTTTAAAATTATATTACGTACAATACTACAATACGGTATACATTATGATAATGTATTGTTCATTGTACATGATTCATACTATAGTGCAGTACAATTATTATAAGGAAGAGGTGGAATGTGGTAAATATATAATATTATATATATATATTATGTATTTGAAACTAATATATATTTTAGGTAGATCGTAGATACTGAAGTACTGTACTAATTGAATGTTTTTCTTACTGTAAAAAAACTTTAAAACTCAATGTAAACTACGTAGGTATGTTACTCGAACTAGTCGAACATAATACTAATTTACATAATATCCAAATTTGTAATTTTGATCATGTATTATCTAATTTTATAGTTACCTATATAATTTATGTTATAACAGTATGGAGTTCCTTGGGCTATTTACTTTATATTACACAACGAATAATAATAACTTTTCCTACCTTTACATTTTGATTAGCATAAATCTAAATTATTATCATGATTCATAGCTGTAAATTTAATCATTTTGAGTATCGATTAATTTTATTCTGAATTCAAAATAACTGATTCAGTTTTGATTTAAGATATTACCATTCTAAACCTAGTAAATGAATTGTTTTATTTTGCATATTACATTAGTAATTTAAACGTTATTATATTTATATTAATGAATATGCAACATTATTTTTTATAACATATTTGATTTAAAAATTATTGCTTTGAAAAAAATTGATACCTGTATACTGTATAGTATTTTATTTATTAAACTGAATACCTCAATGTTCTCAGAAAATGTTATAAAAAATATATTTTTATATACATACTTCAATTAGGTACTTAAGACACATTTTTTCCAGACACAAAATTAAAAAACAGGATTTCCATTAAACAAAAAAATTAAATTAAATGCTGAAAAAATATATTTTGTTTGAATATGACTAAACTTTACTAAGGAAATTAATGTAGCATGTGAAAATGTATAATATCGAGTGCAGGATGTGACTCGGTATAACACATTATATCTATAATATATTATATTATATAGGAACATATAATGCAATTATGTCGTAACAAATCGACGAGCACGTACGATAGAATCTGTGCCTGTACAATAACCCTCTGGAGAAAATCATTACAGTTCAATTTCAAATAGCCGGAAAACGTTAAACGGATCATCCCCTGACCTCGCCCTCGGGCAGGCGTGTGTGCAGAGATGGGATAAGTCAGTTTAGGTATCGCGCGTATGCGACGCATTTATCACATCGAGTTTCGCATTGACGTTTAATCTAGTGACAAAAAAAGACAGACAAAAAACTACTATGTATCAGTACTATGTATCGTGCTCAGATGCGTATCAAAAGACACTGTAACGAAAATATAGCAACGCCGTTAAAAGGTTCCGTTTAAGTCCCGCACTCCAAACACTCCTTATATTTATTGAAATTAATATAATAGGGAACTTATCATAATATTCACACAAGCTACGTGTGCCAGCCACAGATATTACTATTTTATCAGTACCTTACAACATGTGGTTTTTTTTTAAAGGCAATGTATATACGAATGAAATAACTAACGGCAGAACAGGCGCAGTCAGTTTGTCCAAGATTCATTTTCTTATTTGCATTGACTTATACAATTTTTTTTTAGTCAAGTCTTTCACACATGTCTATATAAGTACTGTATATTATGTGTATTTGAAGTGTGCATTTGACATAAGATGAGGTCCAAGTGAAAAAAAAGTACATAGAATACCATAAAAACATTGCTGCATTAAAAAGACAACAATAAAATTATTGAATAATAATATTATATAGTATAAAAATATACATTTGCTAACAATCTGCAGCTCAAGTCACGTAATTCGACGATTATAATTTCTTCGTGAATAAAAAAGGTTTGTTTGATAACTGTTAAAATCAAAGCACGTATAAAAGAAGTGGGTTTCTTCATCAATAGTTTTCATATTGAAATTATCGTGCAGAGTTAAGTGGAAATATATGGTGGAGCATTAGAGAGTCGTTAAAATTTTGAAACGCTTGGATTTTATTTGTATTGGATTTTTGCTGCAGTAGTCCATAGATCCAAATAGGCTTAATTAAAGTTTCATAAATTTAGTTTTTAGACTGGTTATGCGAGAATGCGGGGATGAATAAGAGTCAATATATTTTGGTTCGAATATAGTTATTCCATGTCAGTCGTTTATATAGCTTGAGTCACATCCACCTACAGACTGCATTGGACGTAGGAATCAGGACGTCTTATTAAATATTAAAAAATAACAAATACCTATAGTTATAATTGGTATATAAATAAAATTATGTATATTATAATTAAAAATAATTATATTATTGAATATACTCTTCTGTAGAAAATGTCACTATTTTTCTTTGTATAACATTTTTTAAACTAATTTCGATTTTTGAGTAATAAAATCTACATTGATACTCGTATTTTACATAAACTTTGATTTGTTATAACATTATCAACAAAATCAATTCCATTTGAAGTCTAAAAACATTGATATAATCCTATAATCAAATAAAGATAAAATTAAATGACAAGTATGTATTATATAATTTGATTTTTATACACGCCCTTGGGACTTAATTAAATGGGTGTAAATAAACAAAAACTTCTAGTGAGTTTCGAGTTTGTGCTTTATACACACAAATCTATTTTAATGATTCACATCAGCATATTTTTACATTGTAAAGTAAATAATATTATTTTTATAATAATATGTAGAAATTATAGTAGGTATACGAGCTTTATAAACAGCACTGTATTACAACTAGTGAAATAATTTACCTGAATCACCTCTAGTAATAATAATTCATCTTTTACCTTAACTGAACTTTTGAAATATTAAAAGGTGATTTAACAATTCACAAAAGTATCCAAATTGACGTTTAAAAGGACTTTTTAAAGTCTTAACATTTTAAGTTCACTTGGTTAAAAAAAATATAGGATTTAAAATTTTATAACACCTCAATTAGGTAACCGTTTTAACCTTTCTAACCTACATAGTATTTGGTATAATCTTATAGATATAATAAGACAAATAAAAAATGGAAGATTTTAACTTTATATCAGTTTCAGAACATTTTAAATTAAACAACAGACACATAATTATATGTTAACAGTATATTATAATATAATATATTCTATCATGGTTGTTAACATCCCGTTCATTTGTAGTAAGGGACCAGGTTCTGTGGAGTATTATTTGAAGATTATTTATTGGAATGGCCGACTATAAACCGCTAGACCAAAGTCGGAGCACACTTGATTTTTATATAAATATATTTCAATAAAGATGGAAACTAAGGAGTTTTAATAATTTTTAAAATAATAAAACATACATCGTGGTCATTTGTATTTGAATAAACGATATATTTATATATAATTTAAATTATAAAATTAAGTTTAAGGTAAAGAAAAATCTAATGAGTAATGATATAACAAAAATTTACTTTTTTTTTTTTATTTTTAACAAGATATATACAATCTGTACCCTTAGGCACAATAATAATATGTGATAAAATATTTTGTACATGAAAACGTGAGGGAAGAAGCCAACCAGTGAAGGCACTACCTATAATATTTATTTATATATATACTAGCTGATCCCGTGCACTTCGTCGCCCGTTAAATGGATCAACTCAATACTACCTACTCAAACTTTGTTCAATTCATTAACGTGTATGGTGTTCAAAATTTATCTTATCTTTCCCGTTGCCCTGAATAAAAATTCTGAATCGCGGCAGTACATTATCAGGTAGGCAATCTACCTGCGGTAGATCGCGGACCCCGTGCTGTTTGTACGGAAGTGTATGATTTAACTCTAAAGTATCAAAGTTATACCAAGTTTATTTTGATGTAATACTGTGGATTAATATAATAAATTTGGTTGCTCGTAAAAAATCGCAACTCTTAAAAAATTATGATTGTTGAACTCCTTTTGGGTGTAATTTTCTGCGGTAAGTGCAAATCTGCCACCCTGGTAAG